AGATCAACATACTGCCTTGGTAGTAATCGCATAAGTCTTTTTATTGATCCACAATGCCAAACCTTATCGAAGGCCTGGGCTACGTCCAAAAATATGATCGAACATATTGTTTTTCCTTCCAGTGAATTTTATATTAGGTCAGTTATTCTACAAATCTGATCTATGGTTGAGTGATTCCGGCGAAAACCAAATTGATGATTCGGGATTAACTTTTTACTTTCAATTATAGGCTGAAATCTTCTCAATGAAAGTTTCTCTAGCAGTTTTGAAATCATCGGCAACAATGAGATTGGTCTATAAGAAGTCGGCCTGTCTATAGGTTTGCCAGGTTTGTAAATAATTATCTCTGCTACTTTCCAAATTTCAGGCACGTAATTGAACCTTATACACGCATTTATTAGGTGCGTAAGCATCGTTATACCCCTTTTGGGTAATTCTTTCAAAATATCGGCCGTTATTAGATCAAATAGTGGGGCCTTTTTAGGTTTAAGAGTCCTGATTTCTTCTATAACATCTCTTTCCTTGACAATTGGAATAGTCACGCTATCCCCAACAAAAGCAGATTCCTAATTTTCATACACTCCCTGACTGTCATGCGGACAGAATATATCGGCCAAATGATCCGCAAACGCATTTGCCTTGTCCCTGTCAGTTTTTGCCTTCGTTCCATCTTTGCTTTTAATAGGAGCGAGATGTTTGATAGGTTGCTTCATTTTGTTCGTTGCCCTCCACAGTGAGTAATTGGTTTTCTCACACACCGTCAAATTTTGAATTAGCAGCCGAATCCTCTTTGTATTTTCTAATACTGTGTCTTAGTTGCTGCGATTCACGATTACATCTGGTTTTATCAGTAGAATCACGCGTTTGCTGCCACCTCTTTCTCGCCCGCCTGCTTTGTCTTACTTTTGCTAGCATATGTGGGGAATAGTTAATGCCACCCCTTTTAATAACATTAATTTTGAAACTACTCCAAGCCGCATTTTGAATAATTTTAGTAAAGTTTTCGGCCTCCTCATCTATGTGCTGGGTCGTTTTTATTCTTTTCCTTAGGTCTAATTGTCGTTCAATCTCTAAACGAAATCTTGACCAATCTGTAGTTCTATTTGTCAGCGCAGTATTCGTTCTTTTCATTATAATATTTTCCTTAAGTTTAAGAATAACCACCGAATGATCGGAGTTAAGATCATAGTTATCATGTACCTCAATGAAGTTTTTCGCAATCCGTTTTGTTATGAAGAAATCTATTAAATGTGGACACTTATTAACATCGGTTAGCCAATACCTTGGCTTCGCAGTAGAGTGAAAAGGCCACCCCGCGCCGTCAATTGCTATCCTAAGTTCTATTCCTCTAGTTGAAGTATGCCTTGAACCCCAATCAGTGTGCTTGGCGTTAAAGTCATCCCCCAATATAAATCTATCGCCTAGGTCTGTTAGAACGTTTTGAAACATTTCTACCGCTATTTTAAATCTGGGGTGACAATGTAATGCAGCCACTATAAATTTTTGCTTAGTCGAAGTGATCTGAACCGCCGTCATTTGCATTCCCTCGGCTTTCGTCTTGTTCAGATCACAATGCACTGTATTTTCAATCATTATTATCGCTGTTCAGCCCTTCGCTATATTTCCAGGGTGGTCAGAGTTGTAAATTCTATAACCTGGAAACCGAATCATGCTTCTTAAAGTCATATGTGTTTCAGTTATGAGGCGTCAAGCAAGCCCTTTTTATTTGCAATACCATTGCTACGAGTATTCCATGTTGCTATTTTAAAATTTAAAATCATTTACCAGGTTTTTCGGTAACTTTTTTCCTGCCTCTCTAAAATGCTCGACCTCTGAGAGATTTTGTCCATCATATCTAGCATGTTTTGCATCATATTTTGCATTTTATACAAAACATTCACGCCACTAGACCTTGTTTTATTGCTCGTGCCACTGTCATCGGTTTTAGTTTGGAGAACGTCCTTGTATGTTACATCTTCTGATACTATTCTCGAAGTGAATTGCCTCGGTGGCCGGTCAGAATTCTTCTTCAAATTGTTGTTGCAGATCTGAGCACTTTGCTGCAGTACTTCTTGGCTTACTACAATCTTCAGTCAACTGCCTACCTGCACATTTAACACAATTTGATTCTCTCTAGCATAAAATTAAAGGAATGCCTTTGCCATACCTTTGACACTTTTTACACTGCGGAATGGTCCTCTCCTTTCTAAGTGCTTCTATCTCCTCGTCATTTGAGAACGTTAACATAAACAACGGTGGAGGCACCATAACGTTTTTTCCATTTCCTTTTATTTTTTTAATTTTATTGGTTACATCTAAGATCTTGTAACACCTAGAGCTTAAGTCTTCTTTTATATCTACCAGTTTAAAAACTGGAGTGAAGATTTCTTACCATAACTTTTATTGGTCTGGCTTGTTTGTTTTCATAGTTACGCCATTCTAGTCCAGATCCATTTATGGCCTTAGTAAGATTCCTGTAATCCATTTCGGAATTTAGTTATTCATAATTTTAACCTTATAATTGATGTCCTTATTTTTTAATGTTGACTCTATTGACCACATTACTTATGACTACTGGAGGCGGCCTAAAGTTTTTCGTGACATCGCCTCGATTTTTAGAATCAGGAACATCCGCTTTCTCAGCGTTGATCGTCAACTGGACCTCTTTCGGAGTAATTCTTTTTTTACTGGAATAAACTGTTGAATAGACTTCTGATATTGACGTCACCTGTTTTGCTTGTGGTGTAACGTCTTTTTCTTTATGAGTACTATCATCAGACTTGTTGTTTGTAATTTTCCTATGTTTGTCTTTCTTAAGCTTGTCGTTCTCAGTCATCAGTTGAAGAGCCTCGTTTTTCAAATCTCCACAGAGCTGTTCTAGTTAGCTAATCCTTTTATGTATGTCAGCATTCTGATCATCACTTTTTTGGCTTGAGCTTTACTCATGTTTATATCCTTATTGGTTTGTGTTTTCTAAAATTCGTACATCAGATGTAGGTGGCGAACGCCAGGTTCTCGCGCTCTTCCTGAACGGATCAATCAAATGCAATACATGGCTCTCCCCAGATTCCGCAGAGCCGACCTCCGAAGATCGTGGATTCTCCAACGTAGTAAGATTACCACCTAGGGTACTAAATCCTTTTGTTTTCTCCATTACAGAAATAATTCATGTTTGCATTTTATACCTCCGGCCACGATCCAAAAACTTCCATCCCTCAGGTCAGAGGCAGACCAGGGAGCCGCCGATTCTAGGTCAGACGCTTCTGGATTTACCGCCCGCGTGCTTCGTAACCAACAACAAAAAAAAATAAAAAAAATATTTCAATCGGCATACTTCGAAACATAAAATATTAAAAATTATTTTTGTTTTTTTTTCCGACTCAAAATTTCGAAAAATAATTTCAGCTTGGAGGCCTGATAGATATATATGGCATTATGAACATACATATTTCAAACATATGACATAAAACTTATTATAAATTAAAATTTTAGTAATATTCTCTAATAAATTCTAAAATAGAAGTGCTATTGTAGTTAATTAGTGGGAAAGTTATTTATTACAACTTATAATATTACATTTGCTATTTCAAAAATAAGAAATATTAAATCGAATTATTGAATAATAGTTTCATCGAAATCAAAAGGGGAAACAAAAATGCGCATAACTATGTTTATGACCAATTAAAAAATTTAATTGAACAAAACTTCAATTTGCATTTTTTGCTTTTAAGTATGCACATTCAAAAGCACAATGTATATTATTTAATTCATAATGTATATTACTTAACACATCGTTGATGTGTTTTAAATCATTCTCTATTAGGTGTCTCTAACGTACTACAGTAATATTGCACGAAGATCCAAATTGTGACTAAGGCAAAAAAGAAGAAAAATTTTTGTACAAAATATTTAAACCTTATATTGAGAATATTGCTGAATGTGAAATTAAAAATACTTGCTTGCATTGTATCTTTTCTATACCATGCACCTAAAAACTATACATAAAAAAAAAATTAAAAATATGTGAGTTTCCCATTCACATACAGAGTCATCTATTAAGCTTAATAAAATATGTATACGACTTCCTGTTAAAGAGATATTGAAATGGAAGATAAAGTTAAGTATATGAACACAAGAAACAAAAGAGAAAAACCATTTCTATAAATATGATTTTTGTATAAAGTATAACATAACCGTGACACTTGGGTAAATACATACTCGTACATACATATATTATTAGAACAAAAAGAAATTTTTCTTAAAGCAATACTTTTTTGGAAATGTTTTATTTTCTGCTAAAGACAGCTGCTGCTGTAATTAGAACAATTCAGACATAATTAGAGTATGTCTATCAAAGTATATCATATCTACTAATAACTGTATTTCTAATTATAGAATTCATTGGAAATTTAAATGTACTTTTGTAAAAAAATAAAACTCTGAAAACAGTTTCGACTCCAAGTTCGTACGACGTCGAACCTATTTTCTATAATTGTACTAGTCATTCTAATTTTAAACCCAATAGTTCAATAGTCTTCATCAAACTTCCCCAATTTCCCGCTTCGTTCCACAAATATTAATTTTAATTACTAGATATAGCAAATTAAAATTAATATTAGAGGAACGAGGTAGATTTAATACTTAAAATGAATTTTTGGAATAAAAATTTCAATTTGAATACTAATACAAAACTAATTTCCCACAATTTTGTTTTTTATAGATACCCGTCATTCAATAATACTAACAATTTTGTGGATTTTTTATGTTCAACTGAACTTTATTGGTTTTTATTAGATGTTGTCCCATGCATTTCACTAGTTGCTAATATTTTTTATTAGTTTTAAAATTTAAGTTTGAAGCTAGCATTACCTATACGCTGCAGTTATTTTTCTTCCTGAATTTAAAAATTATAAAAAAAGATAGATTCAAAATTAGTTACTGATAATTTTATTCTTAGCTTACTTTGTTGTAACTTGAACTATATAAAGAATTTTTTCAAGAAAAAGGACCTCAATAGCTGCCCCAGAAAAGCGATCATTGGAGGCGTATTTTGCAGTTCAACCAAGACCGTCGGGGGAAAAAATAGCAGCTATTGCAGAAAAATTAGATTTAAAAAAAAATGTTGTAAGAGTCTGGTTTTGTAATCAAAGGCAAAAACAAAAAAGAATGAAATTTGCAGCACAGCACTGACAATCAAATAATTTCCATACTCAAATAGGTGTAATTACAGGTATAACAACAAAATTTGCAGGTTCTGGAATAAATTCCAATTACGGATATTGTTGAAATCAAAGCGAATTAGAGAAGTGAAATCAAATTCTTCCAATTGTGAAATAAAGAACAAATTCTTGAAGAATTAACTTGTAAAAAATACAATGGGTATTGCGTTTTATTATGTTTTATATTTTACTATGCAATTATTTTTTAGTGTATATACATATAAAATACAAATGCAATATACTACAGAAAATGAACAAATATATATGTAACATAACTTAAAAGTATTGAGCTTAAGTGGTACTTAATTAACAATAAAAATGTTGTATCTTATTATATTATAAATTTCCTATTTCTAACTTGTTTTTTAAATTTACACATAAATTGTATTATTGGAAAACTGTAATTTCGTTTTAATAAAATCTTAATTATTAGTTCCAAGCATAATTAAATTAAGTTTGTTGCAAACTGAATAAAAATTATTGTTTTAAATTTCAAGGGTTTCAATTTGTTTGAAATTTTCATAAAATTTTTATTTGTTACAGAGTACAGAAATCAGTTTTTTATGTTGTTCGTAAAAACAACAGTTTTTAATTATTGATGGATTTGAACTAAGATACAAATGTAAATAAAAGTAAAAATTTAAATAAGAATCGGAGAGCATTTACTTTGTCTTTTAGATTATTTAGCTTGTTGCAGGTTATAAACATAACTGACGTTGAAAAAAATGCTATAGGTTGTGGTATTTTTAAAATAAAACAATGCACTTAACAACCTTCCTGCTCGGTAAGTACAATATCTAACAATTGCTTTGCATAAATAGTTTTCTATATTAATTTGGACGAAACTGTGTTTCATTTTAAATTACGTTGTAATAAAACACGGATTTTGTAGATAATTAAGAGTTCTTTAATTAGATTATTTCAGTATGAAATCTAAATTAACAATAAATAATATAGAGGTATAAAAAGTGTACTGATAATATACCATTATATTGTAAATTATGTATAATTACATATCATTACAATGCTGTCAAAGCCGTAACATAAAGTGCTTTAAGTACTTTTATTATTTCAACAACATCCTAACAATTTTCTTAAAATATATTACAGCAGAATCTCTAAGCCTCTCAATATAGCTGGATATTTTCCTTCATAAACTTAATAAAATTGATGCAATTAGGTGCTTTGACAAGGGTTGGAAAGAGTCAGTTGAGTAGGTTCAATAAAGTTTTATAAAGACTTTACAATGCATTTTGAAGAATACAGTTCAAAAATATTTAAAAAAATTAATTAAGATAAAAAAAGTCAAAATATATTATTAGTTCTTTATGTTCTTCAGGCTTTGTGTTAATATTTCTTTGTACTCGTAATTTTATATTTACTATATTTTTCATTTTTTATTTTTATTTATAAACATCTTTATAACTAAACAACCACGGCTGATAAATTGCAAATGATTATGTTTCTAGAATAAACTGAGTTATAATAAAGGCAGAAAGAAACGGAAAGAAGTAGAGTAATTTGTGATGGCCGTACGAATACATGTTTTTAAAAGTCGTATGATAATAATCTTTTAGAAATCTTGTCAATTCTAATCAACATACTATGCATCATTTGCATAATGTCTGCGTCAGTTTTTTTCATTTGTGTGTTTTTTTGCTCAGGTTCCTTATTATTGTTTTATCTTGTTTTGCTTTGAAGGGCCTGTGAACAAGATACTCACTTTAACACTTTACTAGGTGTTGCTATTCTGGCTATTTTTGGAGTTCTTTGCTCATTAAGTTTGACTTGATTTTGTTTGGATTTATTCTTTTTTAATCTTCCCTCTTGCAATTCTCTTACAACCAAACAACCTCGATAGCTAGCAGGGTGAGCCTCATTGCAGTTCGATCATTTGATTGAAAATTATCCTTCTTGTTGCACTCTGCTGTCATATGATTATCAACACATTTTTCCCATTTAGCCTCTCTTTGACAAAATTTTGTGTGTGTCCAAATTTCTGGTATATTTTGTATTGCGGAATGGACTTGCTGCTTCTAAGAGCTTCAATTTTTACTATCATGTGTTGTAAGTATTCTATTTTATAGATTTTGGTTATCTCTTCCGAATAGTCCGAAGATAACATAAAAAGCGGAAGTTTTTCTTATATATGTTTCCAATTTCTTTTCTCCTTTTGATTTTATTTACAACATCTAGACATTTAAAGCCTTTGCTAATAAATTCATTTTTTATATCCTTGGGCTCATACGATGGATAGAGATTTCCAGCCATAACTGGCGTTGCCAGTTTATTCTCACGCGTGTGCCACTCCAATCTAGCCTTATTTATAACTTTTGTTAGCAATCTGTATTTATTTTAATTTTCCGCATTTATTTTAATTTTTATTTAAATTTTCCGCATTTATTTTAATTTATTTTAATTTTCTAATTAGTCATTATTTTCGCTTCTTGGCATTATTCTGTTTTAGGATCCAGTCAGCTTCTCTAGCCACCATTCATCTCTAGCTTCTTCCACGTCGGCTTCATATGCAATAACTTTCGCACCTTCACTCTTATTTTCTGTTGATGCAGATTTTATTTGATTTTTTAAATTTACATTCTCTGCTTGTAATTTGTAGATCTCGTTTTGTAACACATCACAAAGACTCTCTAACTCGGTTATTCTCGAGTGTTTTGTATCCAATTTACTCTCCTATATAAGATGCTTTCTAATATTACCCTGTGCGGCTGAATTTTCCTAACGTGTGAGGCTGAAAATGCTAGGAAATGCCCTCTGAAAACATCAGCTCTGCCAACAAATCCCACTCTCACTTCCTAGAAGTTAGGTAAGCTAGTTATCTGCCGAGTGTCTCCTGGGCAACTTACTTAGTAAGGCTGAAGAGAGCGGGTGAAAGCGCGTACCCAGCGCTTAATCCGGGTTTCGTTGGTTAGGAAGCGCGCGGGCGGTAAATCATAATAATAGGGTAGAAGAGGCGGCTCCCTGGTCTGCGTCTGATCCCTGAGGGACGGCAGTTTTTGAATCCTGGCAGTAGGTATAAAATGCAGAATTTAATCATTTGTGCAATGGACAAAACAAAAGGATTTAGTACCCCAGGTGGTAATTCAACTACGTTGGAGAATCCACCCTCTTCGGAGGTCGGCTCTACGGATTCTGGGGAGAGCCATTTATTGCATTTGATTGATCTATTTGGAGGAATGCGAAAACCCGGCGTTCACAACCTACATCTGATGTGCGGATTTTAAAAAAGAATTAAAATATAGAAGGTGGACTACCGAACACTCAAGCTCCACAGACCAATAAGGATATAAACATGAGTCAAGCTCAAGCCAAAAAAAGTGATGATCAGAATGCTGACATATTTAAAAGGATTAGCCAACTAGAACAGCTCTCTGTCGTTTTGAAAAACGAGGTTCTTCAACTGAGGGCTGAGAATGAGAAGCTAAAGAAAGAGAAACATGTGCAAATTACAAACAATAAGTCTAATGAGAGTAGTCATAAAGAAAAAGACGCTGCACCATAAGCAAAGCAGGTGAGGTCAATTTTGAACGACTACTCAACAGACGAGGAAGAACTCGCCAGAGAAACAGATTAGATCCTAAAGTAAAAGAGGTCCAGTAAAAAAAGAAAAGCGGAATCATCTCCGGAAGAGGTTCGGGTGACGATCAACGCTGAGAAGGCGGATGTTCCTGATTCTAAAAGTCGAGGCGATGTCACGAAAAACTCTAAGCCGCCTCCAGTAGTCATAAGTAATGTGGTTGACTATAATCAAATAGAGTCAACATTAAAAAATAAGGACATCAATTATAAGGTTAAAATGATGAATAACAATCAATTTAAGCTTATTGTAAACTCCAAAATGAACTACAGGAATCTTACCAGGGCCACGAATGGACATAGAGTAGAATGGCATACCTATGAAAACAAGCAGGCCAGACCAATAAAAGTCATGGTAAGAAATCTTCACCCCAGTTGTAAACCGGAAGATATAAAGGAAGGCCTAAGGGTTACAAGATCGTAGATGTAACCAATAAAATTAAAAAAATAAAAGAAAATGGGGAAAACATTATGGTGCCTCCACCGTTGTTTATGTTAACATTCTCAAATGAAGAGGAGATGAAAAAAATTTATGAAATCGATCAGATAAACAGGATGAAAGTTAAGATAAAGGTACTTTGAAAGGATAGGACCATTCCGCAGTGTAAAAGTTGTCAAAGGTATGGGCATACACAAAAATTTTGTCAGAGAGAACCGAATTGTGTTAAATAATGCAGCAAAGTGTTCCAGTTGCTTGGAGGCCCATCCAGCAAACTATAGGGGATGCCTTGTAGCTAAGTAACTGCAAAAACGTAGAAATAAGAAGAGCAACAACAACTTGAAGAATTCTGAACGGCCACCGAGGCAATTCACTTCGAGAATAGTATCAGAAGATGTAACATACAAGAACGTTCTCCAAACGAAAACTGATGACGGTGGCACGAGCAATAAAGCAAGGGCCAGTGACGTGAATATTTTGTATAAAATGCAAAATATGATGCAGAACATGCTAGATATGATGGACAAAATCTCTCAGAGATTGAGCATTTTAGAGAGCGAAGCGAAAAAATCGAAAACCAAAAGACCTGGTAAATGAAGGCACGAGGTAATTTTAAAATAGCAACATGGAATTGCAATGATATCGCAAATAAAAAAGACATGCTTGAAGTTTTTCTACGTACACAGAATATAGACGTGTGCCTCGTAACTGAAACACATATGACTTTAAGAAGCAGAATTGAGTTTCCAGGTTATAGAATTTACAACTCGAACCACCCTGGAAATATAGCGAAGGACGGAACGGCGTAATAATAAAAGAAAATGTGGTGCATTGCGATCCGCACGAGATGCAAACCGAGGGAATGCAAATGACAGCGGTTCAGATCACTTCGACTAAGCAAAAATTTATAATGGCTGCATTATATTGTCATCCCACATTTAAAATTACGGAAGAAATGTTTTAAAACGTTCTGACAGACCTAGGCGATAGATTTATATAGGGGGGTGACTTAAACGCCAAGCACACTGATTGGGGTTCAAAGCATACTTCAAGTAGAGGAAGAGAACTTAGGATAGCAATTGACGGCGCGGGGTGGCCTTTTCACTCTACTGCGAAGCCAAGGTATTGGCCAACCGATGTTAATAAGTGTCCAGATTTAATAGATTTCTTCATAACAAAACGGATTGCGAAAAACTTCATTGAGGTACATGATAACTATGATCTTAACTCCGATCATTCGGTGGTTATTCTTAAACTTAAGGAAAATATTGTAATGAAAAGAACGAATACTGCGCTGACAAATAGAACTACAGATTGGTCAAGATTTCGTTTAGAGATTGAACGACAATTAGACCT